CGTTTGGATTCTCTGGGCATCAGATGGTCTGGACCGGGCAGGCCTGGGTTTTGGGCTGAGTTTGTTGGGCCAATTTTAACAAATTGGCCCAAGTCCGGAAGGGGTCTTTTCCTTTCTTTCTTTTTTTCTTTTTTTTTTAATTATAAAAATACAAAACTAAGTAAAATCAAATTAAAATAAACACCTAATACAATTATTTGCACACACATTAAAATGATTCAAAACAGGTAAAAATTAAACAAAACAAAATCACGGGCAAAGATGCCTGTTCATGCTTTTTCTATTTAACAACCATGTTACGGTTCAGATCATGCATGACACGTACATTTTTTGTATTTTGTTTTAATAAAGTAAAAATGGGCCAAAGTCATAAACAATTAACGAAGTGCCATGTAAAAATCTCAAAATTGTACAACGGGATCAATTGTTATTATTTTTTATTTCTTTTGGAGCGATTGTCTCGTGAAATAAAAATCACGTGCTCACAAAGAGTCTCTACATTTTGGTGAGATTATATGACAATGTAGTGAAAGGAGTGATCACTGAATGACGTTATTCATAAACGCGCGAAGCTCGTGCAAATTACCTAGTTTTGCATAAAGAAAAGTAGCGAAATTTTGTTTGGAAGTCCTAATATCTACATGTAACAGTTATAATAAATCCAACGAATGTAGTAATGTACTAGCTGAACTCTGATTAGGAATAGTTTGTTCATATGCGAATCGATCTTGAAGAAATTATTAAATGATACTTTCTTTTAATATGATCCGCTAACTAAAACCTAAGGGTATCTAAGACCTTTGATTTGTTAAATTATATTGATTGAAATATTTAAAAGAATAGTCTGAAATGTAGAAAAAAGAATACATAACTACTTTAAGTTATTGAATCAAGTTTAAATAATAGGAGTTTAAACAAAACAGAAAAAAATATTACGTAATAAAGAGGTTAAAATTGTATAAAACTACTACAGAAAAAGCACTCCCTCCATCACTACTACAGTTGGAAGACCAAGTAAAATATTTACTGCGAATTTTAATATTTGTAAAATACTAATTTATGGAAAATATTTTATTTAATTTTAGATCAATTGACTTTTTTGTCATTTTTAATATTCAAACGTAGAGCATTATTGTTTGGTGAGACAGAGGGGCGCCCATGGTTTGTTTGTAAACTAGAATGTTCTTTACGGCTTGTTTGGATGGTTGTTACGCATCACGCATTGTAATGTATCGTTTAATAAATACAATATTTGGATAGATTGTATCGTTTGCTATCATTTCATGATATCACGCACCGACCGTATGAAGAATAAACTTGCAATATAAAAGAAAAATTATGATATATGGTAAAATTATTATATAAAAAGGTAGAGTAAATGATAAAATAAAATTATTTAATAATAATAAAGGGCGAGATTGAGAAAAAAAGACAAAATAACGATGCGAGTACACCAACTCGGTCGTACATAGAGTGACACATTTCGTGGTTATGTAACAACAGATTTAATGATACGATAAAATTTAAGAAACAATTAATCTTGTCATGCTGCATATATAGGTAGATCCCGATCCAAAAATTAATCTTGACATGTTCAACTTTTAAGTTCCTAATATTGAATTTATTTTTACATTACGGATCGGATCAGAATTTAATATTTGTCGAATTTTTAGTAAATTTTCACATGTATTTTATAAAAGTAGTAAGTGTACCTTTTTAGCATGTAACAATTTTTTATTGTACTTTTGTATACTTTTTATATACATATAGAGTTTAAATTTGAGATATACATCCATCACTCCTTGTATGTTTCATAGTGTGACCTTCGATTCTTCCTTTGAGCCGAGGGTCTTTAGGAAACAATAAGGTCTGTGTACAATTTACCCTCTCAAGACTCTACTTGTGAGATTTCATTGGGCTTGTTGTTATTGCTTTGAATTGTCTTATTCATAATTTCATTGGGTTAATGTTCAATTCTTGGCAGACTGGAAGTGGGTTCATAACGATGGTCAATCAAACGGATGGTAACACTTACAATCTTCAATTAAATGGTGGTCATGAGAATGGCAGAGCCAAAGAGTTCAACACTAATCCGGCGAGAAACGACTGGATTCCCAGCGGTGAAGATTATCAGGTGCATTTTAATGAGCTTGCTAATTGAATCTTCATGTGTTGCACTATAATTTATGTTCAGTTTCATATTTTTGCTCTAAGGCTTATTAATCAGGTTGGATTGACGTCCTCAAAACCCACCCGGAGTGAAAGTGATAGATCAATTTAAAGTCAAGAATCAACCAGATGCTGAAGGTGGTCCCTTCTATTTACCTGAATTTGTTAATCTTGAATGATTGGAGAGAGACATGAGAGATGATACCACGTCCTTAGGTTGATTATTTTATACTGGTTTGTATCTGAATAGTATATAATTTCTAGTAGGGACGATGCCAAGGCTGTTTTCGTGATTGGCTAATAAAAAGTTATTGTAAGCAAACGCTGCCAATGGTAGAAACTGATTCTGGTGGCCTCTGAAATCAAATAACACATGCTCTTAACATATTCTCAAGGATCGCCTATCAGTCCGTGGGTGAAATGAAGTACTAAGCTCCACATGCATGCCAACTATTGTGTTGATTAACATTGGGCATCGATAGTTTCCTTTTTTTAAGCTGAGCTACTGTTTGCCTTCTTTTCTTTGGGTTTTATTTATCCATCAATCAGCTTTAAACTATGTCTCAGTTGCACATTAGTTGAGAATTTGAGACAGTGGACTAGATTGCGCATACCTTGTGTATTTCATAAGATACAATGAACTTTTGTCTTTATTTTGCTCTATTCGGTATCAGAAAATTCATTGTATTTTGACTACATTTGCTCGATAAGATATTACAACTCTATTCCAGCTTTATTCAGATCCAGAACTAGCTACACATTGTAGATGTAGAAAGTGCTTAAGCTTTTATTTAATATGTACTACAATAGAAGGAAAACAAATAGGTCTCCATATTCAATTTTGGGAAGTTTTTCAAATATGTATGTATGAAGATTTCGTGAATAAGAAAGATGACTAGTGTATTCCCACAAATGGAGTATGGGGAGGATAGTGTATACGCAGACCTTATTCATACCTTATGCAGATAGAGAATTTGTTTTCGATAGACCATCGGTTCAGGTCAAACATGTTGGGTTTTTAAGTATATTAATGCTTAAAATAGGGTGAATAGAAAATTGAGGGAAAATGAAATATTTGAGATTCATTTGAGATTCTCTCCTTGATAAAGGAACATTGTCCCATATTGGAAGAGCAAGAGGTTTTAATGGATATATAAGCAATTGCTCTTCTTCTAGCTCTTAAAGAGTTGAGAAGAATGCAAGCCTCGCGTCGTCGCCGCTCGGCTCGGCTTCGGCTTCGGTCAAATGATTGATTGATTAATTTTTTGGATCAAATTTATTTGTTAATAGTAAATATTAACAGAAATATTATTAGATATCCGTTTTAATAATAGAATATTAATATTAAATCCAAAAATATTAATATTAAAATCCAACCGTTTTCATTTTTCCGTTTTCTGTTTTGGTAACAGAAAATTAATTACCCTCTTCAATTTTCCCTCTTTATTGTTGAGTAAATAGCCAGTTATATTATGACATTTATGTTGTGGCCGTTTTGCATAAACAACCATTCTGAAGAGTTGTACCTCTTCAGATTTCAGCCCAACATGGGTTATAAATACAAGTTCATTCTCTCAGATTTTTCATACGATTTTTTGAGTTTCTCCTTCTTCTTCTGCATTGTTTTAACTTCAAAGAAAGCAACAGTAAGTGTGATTTACTACCGAACTTTGTGTTCGCTGAAACACTGGAGTTTGAAGTACCGCTATACCAGTGTGTTATTCGTTCTATCCTGGGAGGAAATAATCCATAACCTTGGGTATTAGGAGGGGATTAAATTCCTTAAGGAAACACTGTGAATTCAGTGTGCTCGGATTAACTTTTGTTTCATTTATATTTCTGTCTATGTTATTTTATTTTCTCCAAAATTATTTTACAAATACAGTTTACTAACAAAACATAATCACTGTCACACCTCATTTTTGCGCGCCCGCCCCGAAGGGTAAAATGCGCGAGGGAGTTTTTCCAATTTAAGTGACAATATTCGAAAATGGGATTATTTATTTATTTCAGAGTCACAACTTGGGAAAGGTTTGGTTTTTGGTGTCCCAAGTCACTGGCTTATCTTAAATCCCAAATCGAGGAAATTTTCGACTTTCCAAATAAAGTCTGCGAACCAGAAATTCTAAGTA